TCAAACTCGGGTCCTTGCACTTGCAAGGCAGATGGCGGATCCACTGAGCTAAATCCCCGGCCCAAAATAAAATCCTTTTGTCTGTAAATATTTCAGTGCATTCCTTAAAAAAATTTTCATCCATAAATAGTTCAGCATATAGCTCTCAAAAGATAAATCATACTCATTCTCATTAAGCTGTATTTCTCATAGAGAGTAGAAAGCCCAAGGTACTCTCTGACCTCAAACTAATTAATGGACGTTTTTAACATTTCAGAACCTTTACATGAATATCACAAGAGCAGTCAAGCTAAATGTCCTTCCCTGAAAGGCTTTGCAGTTCTTAATTCCATATTAAATGGGTTCTCCTCTTTCCTTTTCACCTACTTCTGGTTTCTATTTGTAGCTCTTTTTCCTCCTCTTGAGCCATCTGCTTGTTAGGCAGTTAGACAGATGCCTTGCTGCATCAGAACATCACTTATCAGTATAATACTCTTCTCAATATACACCTTCTCTTAATAGCTCATCCATTTTTTATGGCTTCATCATAAGACCTTTGGTTAGCTAACTCTCAAATCTGCAATTTCATTTGTGTTCTCTCCTCCAAGTCATAGCTCAACATTTCTACTTGAGTATCTTGCTACCACCTCAAACTCAACATGCATCAGTTCCAACTCTTTATTATCTCCAAATTCCAGTTCCATCCTCTTTACCAATCTATTCATTACAAATCACCATCTTCTTACCCACCCAGCCTCACCTTAAGTCACACATCAATTTCTGTTGGTTTTACCTTTGAAATGTCCCTCACCCATCCTTTTCTGTTTCACTGAAACTGCCATCCCTAAAATCCAGCCCTTGAGCAATTCGTGTAAATTACCACATGAGCCTTCAGTTATACTACATTCTCTCTCCACATCAGTGTGTTCTGTACAGTAGTCACTCATTCCTACAACATACATACTGAATGACTACTCTAGGCTAAGTACTGTACTAGTTGGGTGCTGCCAGGATACAACAATGAGCAAGACAGACAACTCTTTCTAGCAGAGGACACATTTAAGAAAACAATTTTTTTCAAATAATTATAGATTGTGATAAATGCCTTAACAGAAAGAAACAAAATGCAATCATAAAGGACAGAGAATAGAAATGCTACTTTAGTCAGGTATCTTAGCTAAAGATGGAATTTACGCTGACACTGGAAGGTTGAATAAGATAGTCATGTAAAAATGTGAAGTACAGTGCTCCAAGCAAAGGAAACTGCAAAGCACACTAGAAGGAAAAAGCCTCACACATTATCAAAAATGACCTAATCAAATGTAGTTGGAGAGCATTAGGGAGAAAGTGGTACAACGTTAGGATTGAGCAACAGACATAGACCGATTTTATTCTGTGAGTAATAAGAAATCACTAAAAGGTTTTAAACAAGTAAATTATAATTCAATATACACTGTGACAAAAATTGCTGGTGCTAATATCTGTGTTTTAGTCTTCATCAGAATACCCTACAGTAAATTTCCCAACCACCCCTGCAGCTAGGTTGGATCATATGACTCAGTTGTGGCCAAAAGAATGGGGTTGAAAGTGGTATGTGCCACCGCCAGCCTGGACCCTAAAATTTTCCTCCACACTGATTTTCCCTTTCAAACCAAGTTCAAAAGCCACACGCTCATTATGTCACTGACATAAGGAGAGAGAGGAGCCTGTTTCCTAAGTGACTACATGAAGCAAAGGTCCCCCCAAAACACACACTGACTGATATTTTAAAGTAATACAAACTTCCACTGTGTTCAGCCACTAACACTGAGATAGGATAAAAGAAATAAAGACTGGTAGAAAGGAGACAAGGAAAACTAATTTTAAAATTGTCCTTTTAAGAAAAACTGCAGCTTGGGCCAGGGATGTAACTCAGTGGTGCCCCGCCTGTTTGGCAAGCGCAAGGTTCCAAGTTCGATCCCAGGTACTGGAAAAAAAAAAAAGAAAAACTGGAGCTTCAGGACACTAAAGGTAAAGTTACCTTTTTCCCTTCCACAAAACTCATACCTAAATTCTTGTCTTAAAAAGAGCTTGTGCTTTTTTTCCTGTAAGAATTTTTCACCTACAAACAGACCATTCCCTTTCACCTTGTGAATAACCTTGCACCTACCCCTTTCAGGTGCAGAATGAACCTTTAACCTGTAAATAGGTCAACACCCTTCAAGCTTTCTATAGATTCACGAATTCCAGATTTCCAACCCTAAGGCCATATAAATACAGTATACTCAGCTCAAGATCATAATGAATCTCACTTTCCAAACACCCACACTGCCTTCTGAGTATGTTGGGGTTTTTTTCCTGCTAAATAAATCTTTTCTGTGCCTCCTACCGAGGCATCTTGAAAATTCTTCTTCCATAATGGGAGTCAGCTCAGTGAACTTAACTCTGTGAGTTGAGGTTCCTCATCTCCTTGTTGGGGAACTTCCTCAGAACCTGTCTGGTGATAAGATCTGTTGCTTATTAGAATTATTTGTACATCATAACTAATACAGATATCTTAAAAACATTTCTCTAGATGCTGTGTTAAAAGATAAAGGCAGAAATAAAAAGACAAGACTCAACAAAAACATAACCTGATTAAAACTTGGCAAAAAAATTCAATACATGTTTGTCTAAATGTATACAAATGACTGCCCAACTACAATCATCAACCCATGGCCACTCAGCCTATCCATATTCCCACCCATTCTTCCTCCTTCACTGGATTATTGGCCTCAATGGATTAATAGCTAACAAACATATTAAATGATGTTCATCAGAACTAATCATTAAGGATATGAAAATCAAAAGCACAAAGAAGTATCTCTTCATACCCACTTTATGGTTACTATTAAAAAACAAAAGAATATTAAGTGCTGATGAGAATATGGTAAAAATGGAACTCTTGTGAATATTAGTAACACTGAATTGTACAGTAGCTACAAAAAAACAGAAAAGTGGTTTCTTAGAAAATTAAAAATATAAGGCCGGGGATTTAGCTCAGTGGTTCCGCCGCCTGCCTTGCAAGCGCAAGGACCTGAGTTCGATCCCCGGTACCAAAAAAAAAAAAAGAAAATTAAAAATATAACTACCATATGTTC